CTAGAAAAAATTGATTAATTTTTATTATAAAAAGTGCCTGGGAATTTAAGCATTAGGCTATTTCTTGTCTTTCAGGTTTTTTTTTTAAATCGTCTTTTAAAGATAATTTCTTTTATTATGGCTTATTAGATCATCCAAAAGTTAAGATATTAGTTTTCTTGAGAGGAAAGTCTGCATTATTTAAATGTTTTCAAGGTTTAACAATATCTAAGAACATGGCCTTTTTTAATTTTAATTTTTCAAAACGTTACTTCTTGTCGTCGTTTCCCTCTGCTGTGGTAACATTCTTGAAACTCTTTGCTAAAAACAATCTCACAGGCTGGAAACTTCCACGGAAAGAAGAGTCCATTTCTTCGGACCTCACCGCATTCCTTAAGGGAAGGACAAAGAAGAAACCGCAAATTTCCCTCTTTGAAGGAAGGTCCTGTAGCTTTTCTCAAAAGACGCATACAAGCTCCTTTTGCCAAACACGTTGTAACCTTAAGGCATGTACATTCGAGATGAAATGGAACATGCATGTAAATAATGTCTGCGATTATATCACATCATCAGGCAAAGCGCCGATATCAAAGGGAGAGAGACGAGTCGGTCTGACGGTCCTGCCGGAGAAAAGAGTGCGACTTCAAAGACCCTTCTCGGGATTTATTAGCTATTGCCTTCCCCGGATGCTAATAACTACCTTGCTTACATTAATATACGTACACAGATTTGTTCGAATCTCCTTCTTTTTTCGTCGCCCGGCTCGTTAATTAAAATTGCGACGCGGTAGATTAATTTTTAATGAGCAGCGCAATGCACTTTGAGAGGGAAGTGTGCCACTTCGCAACTCCAACAGCATTTCTCAGCTTCAAAGGGAAAAGTAAAGCTAAGTAAGAGCTGCTGGGATTTGTAATTAGACCACACAAACAAATAATGACCCTTTTTATATTATAGAGGTTTAAAAGGCTTGGAAAAACCTTATTTTGTATTAAGGTTTTTTTCTTCACAAATTTAAAAATCAATTTTATTCCTGTATATTAATGAAAATTTTAAGCTGCGGCAGAAAATTTTTAATGAGGAAATTTGGTTAGTTTCGAGTCAATTAACTACTTTATTATAAGCAAATTTGCTAGAGATTAATGTCCATAAAAGCTTTATTTCTTTTTAGAGAAATATAAAAATAAACTAAATATTATTCTTTTTAGAAAAGATGTGAAAAATTTATAATTTGGCCGGAGAGATAGAGTAATGAGATTTATTTCTATTCTTTCCGAATTTGAAAAAAAGGTCTTGTTTGGCCATTTTTATAAGAATGATTCCGCAGACTCATTATTTAATATCTCAATCTCCGTGTTGAGAAAGATATATTAAAAAATACTTGAAGTGACTTAAAGTAGCCAATATCAAATACACACAGCTTTAACTTATTTGATTGAAACACTAAAAAATCAACAAAATTGCCAAAGGAGGCTTATCTGTATGCACTATCTAAAATTTAAACCTCAATTATTCTCAAAACTACTTAAACAATTTAGGAAATCTCTATATAAATTATGTTTTAGAATGAAGATGTATGCACTACCTGAAAACTTTCATTTTACAGATACTGATGCATGATAATTGGATCTTTTGCTCATAAGTTTCGTCAAAATTCCCTCTCGAAAGATGCACGTCCATCACGTTTCGCGCAATCAAATAAAATTCGGCTGCGCCTGCTTGCAATCGTAACAAGCAGTCTGCAGGTGCATCCGTTCATTTGGCAATTAGTCGTGCGCTTAATGAATTACGCTCCCCTATCCCGGCGGCGGCTCTCTCACGTATGCATACATCGAGGGATGGAGGGGGTGGTCGATCTGCGGACCGGTCAGTCGTAAATGCAGACGACGTGCTCATTCGGCGTTAGTTACTTTCGCAGGCGGCAAAATAGTATGGCAAGTAGTCGCAGTAGTGTCTCGTGCGAGCAGAGAGAGAGAGAGAGAGAAATCTCTCTCCGGGCTGTTATGCAAAGTAAAGGCAGGGAGAGCAGGCAGCCTTTCATCTGCTGCTTACCAAAATGGTTTGGTCCCTCTTTCTCTTTTCTATACCACATGCTCACTCTCCAAAAACCCTGCCAGCGCTGCGTCTCTTGTGCGAGAGAGAGAGAGACCGCCACCGCCTCCTCCTCCTCGCCACATGCCACCCAACACTAAAGTCGGCCTCCTAATTAAGACAGAAGGGAGCAGTGTAGCTGCTGTACACAAGTCGGGAGAGAAGGCGGTGGAGTTGCTGATGCTGGCTGGGGAGCTGAAATATTGATTAACGCGTTCACTTATGTTTCATTGTGTGTGTAATATTAATAACGATTTGGCAACACAAAGTCCAACCGAAATTCTCCAAACTTGCGTCCGAAAGCTCTTGATGTGTCGCAACTGTTAATTATGCAAAGTAGAGAGAACACACGTCAAGAGGTGATTTCCTCTGTTTGTGATTTCGTTCGATTGACACATTAATTGGTTTGCGTTGCCAATTAAGATAGAGATCATTAAGGGTTGCAATTTCTAGCAGCAAGTTATTCTTCAGAACAAAATTTAAGTTCTAAAACTTGATGATTTTTACAAAACGCTTGAAGGTGAAATACTAAATTAGAGTAGAAATTTTAGGATGATAAAAAAATGATGCTTTTATTATTATTTGTTCATATGGGACCAAAATACTTATTATTTGTATAAAAAAAGTTAGTAATACTTTTTTCTTTTTATAAGCTTTATACATTTTTTTAATATTTATTCTGTTACTTTTAATTAAATAATTTATTCAACAAGTTTTTTATTTTAGTTCTAAATTTGTTGCTTTATTATAATTATTGATAAAAAAATTATTCAGTTAAAAAGAAGCTAGAAACAAAGAAAATTAGATTTTCATTATAAATTTTAATTGTCTTTCAACGACTTTTAATATACGATTAAAAAATTTTAAAATCTCTCTCCTTCTTCAGCTTTTAACTATGTCCATATTTATTAATGTATCGCCGGGTATTCTGTGCCCAAATACATCATCCTAAATTATCCTAATTGTTAAATTTAATTTTGATTGCCAAGTTCACTCGTGACTGATTGTGAGAAGATGAATGTTTCTTTTAGTTTACACGCAAAACATTTTTTATTTTTAGATCGCAAATTTCCCCTCGTGCTAGAGTCCATAAGTTCGCACCTCTGCCCCATTGTAGTCGCGAGCGGCGCCTCCCGGCCTCCCTTTTCTTTTCTTTTTTCCATTGTAAAAAAAATACCATATCGGGACTTGATTGTTGGCATTAAGCGCGAGCGAGCGTGCCCATCTAATCGCATCAAGCTCTCTTTTTCCATATAATAATGCGCTCCTTTTGAGAGAAGGGAGGTTTCCTCCTCTCCTGCTTTCGTCTCATCATCGCGCACGCAGTTGATGACACAACTTGAAAAATAAATGAAGTGTGTTTCAAGTGTCAACGGGCTTTTGAGACTCGAGTGTTTTTGCACGAGTGTATAAAAAAAGAGCTCGGTCGGAGAGACGAGCAGAAAAAAGAGAGAGGGTAAACGCACGTAATCAACTCTTCAGCGCAACCCTTCTTTTGTTTTTAATTGCTCAAATTTGCACAGAGAGAGAAGAAACGTCTCTCGTTAGGAAAAAGAGAAGATAAACGCGATGTTTTCTTTTGATACTGTTTTAAAGGGAGAACTGTCTTTTGGATTGCTAAGAATGAGTTTAATTTCTATTTTTCAATTAATTTAAAAAAAAATTAAAAAAAAAACTATCCAATTTTTTACTTTGGGAATTTATTATAATAATTTTATATCTTTTGGTTTTGAAAAATCTCTCTAATTAATAAAATTACAATAGTTATTTTGACCTCCAGCTCACGCAATCAACGAACTTCGCCCTAATCAACCGCCAAAAAGCAACAAAATACTCTCCTCTCCTTTCTTCCTCTCACTTATCAAATTCTTGCCTCAATAATCTGCAGCCGGCAGGCGAAATGAAGCTCAGACTCAAATTTTCCCAAGGGAGTCGCCGAGTTTAAAAAGAGGTTTAAAATTCCGGCGCTCTTTTAAATATGAATATGCATGAGGCGGCGCCAGCGAAAGAGAGGAGGAATAATTTTAAGACGCAGTGTGTGTGCACAGGCGAGCAACCCTTTCATCATCACAATATCTCTCAATTGAGTGCTGCCTTGGCGCTGCAAGAAAATTCTCCCCGCACACTCTCTTGCATCGGGAAAGACGCAATCAGAGCGGAAATTCCAAGATGAGAAACTGGGAATGCGAAAAGGGATTGCGGTTCTTCGTAAATACAGAATAAGTTAATTACGTTAATTATAAGCCTTAATTGCATGTCGCATATGAAAATTTTTTTAAAAAGTTTTTTAAAAAAATATGTACATTTGTAACATTTAAAGTGACTTAATTAAACATATATGTTTTAACTAATTTCTTTCTTTTACTGTACAATTCTTGAGAAGATAAATTTTGCAGGGCAAGAAAAAATCTGACTAATTTTTCCAAAATTAATTAAAATTTTATGCCATATAAAAAGTATCATTTGAGTGATAAATTTTTCCAACATTAAATTTGAGAAACTTTTCCAAAATCTTAAAATATTTTGAACCCTTCCACTAATCGTTGTTTGTAGATCTCCACAAATTACTTTCAAAATATTAAATAGCTTAATCGTTAAAATTTAAAAACCGTTCCCAAACAAATTAGAAATACAACTAAATTTTGGGAAAAATTTCCATTCAAAACGTAAACCAATTAAATTTTAATGTTCAAATGATCCGAAGTTGAAAAAATTTAAAACTCTATTTGATTGATATAAATTAACTTATAACGTATGATTTGAAAATTTGTCAAATTCCTTGTAAATGTTAGCTGCTGGTGGTAAGTTGTAATGAACACGCCGTCTTGAATCAAATCAGCTGTTCCTATAAACACTTCTCTCGCTTTTGTCAAGTCTTCCTTCTCTCTGTCGGAAACGGTTTGTTTTACGAGCGCCCAAATTCTGTGTTTCAGGATGGCTTCGTTCTGACTGCCAGCCGGAAAATGGACGTGCCAAGCTAGTGGCAGCCAGTTAGGTGAGTGGCGAAATTCCTGCTCGAAAGCGACTTGCTAATTGTGCGCCCATTATTATGCAAATCAGACCCGGCCTGTTATTTTTCCCGAATCTCGCGATGGGAAAAGTAAATATTGCGCGTGGCGAATGAATTATTCAGATAAATTGCGCGCACTTAAAATGCATGAATGATAATGAGCAAGGAGAGAGAGACCGAGAGAGACGGCCCCGAAAAAAAGAATGGCAAAATTTTTCAGATTATTTTTCCCCAGTCGGAATACATTATTTAATTAGATGGCGGCGAACGTAATCAGCACACACGCAACCTAATCCAATCGGAGTTTTGTTTCCCGAGCAAACTAATCTGCGCCGGATTAGAATTTTTTCCCTCTTCCTCTTTTTTAATGCAAAAATCGATTGCATCTTTCTTTCTCTCTGGGAAATACGGAGGCGTGCATTTTTTCCTCTCTACCTTGAGACGGTCTATAAAATATGAATATAAATGACGTAATTTGCATGAATAATCAAAACCTCTGCTGCTAGATAGTATTTAGGTGGCTTAGACTCCAACATCTGTGCCCTCGCTCGCTCGCTCTCTCTCTTCTTATTATTATTCTCTGATTCCATCCGGAGCGTATCAAACTCCCATGCAAACTCGCTCGCCCGCCACCGCCGCAGACGGAGCCGTGTGTGTGTTGTTATGTTGTTATTATTAAGGATGAGCCAGAGCCAAGCTGTTTCCTAAAAACGGCCGCCGCGTCCCTCGCCGTGTCTTTAATACTCCTACATTACGGAGAGCAGTGAACAATATAACGTACACGTCCTCTCTGGGATGAGTGGAGAGGCGCACATGCAGTGTCATGAGATAATTACTTTTGGAACTCACCTTAAAATTAATCAAATTTCGGCGAACTGAAGTTGAATTGGAATTTTTGTTGAAATAGGCAACAAAATTCGCAGACAAAGTCCGTTTCAAGTCAATAAAGAAGTCATAAAGTCTTATTTTAGTGACTAATTTGTATCTAAAGAATCTCGCTTTAAATGAGAAAATAAAAGCGTAGATAAATCTGATTAAATTAAAAAAAGTATCAAAATATTTTTTCCATCAAAAATTAACAAGAATTGTTTATTTGCACATTTATTGTGAACTAGAATTAGGCATTCATTTTTCAGAATGAATTTGGAACCAATAAAAAAAAACATAAAAATTTCACTTCCCCAGTTTATATTAATGTACTTACCGTATCTATATATTGAAGAATTTTTTTAAATTATTTAATGTCTTACTTTATTTTTATTTTATTTTTTGATGTTTTTTGCTTTGTAATAATAAAATTTATATTTTTCTTTTTTTTTTATTTCCCTCATAAAGCAAATAATTTAAGTCAAGATTATTAAAGTAACGTTAAAATGCAGCAATAAATTAAATATATTGCGTTTATCACTGAGAGAATTATATTATTGTTTCTTCTAAAACTATTCAATCCTGCCAAGATATAATTGATGTTATTCTTATTATATGCATTACAATTAATTTTAATCATGAAACTTTAAGGTACCATAATTATGCAATCTAATTAAAATTGAAGATAAGTCGTTTAGAAACATCTTACAAAAATTCACAATTTTCAATCGAATCAAGCGCACAATTTCAGATTTTCTTCTATTTGCGCCTCTCCTTTCCGAAAAGCCACCGGTGGTCCTTGTGAGGAGTGCTTGCGTCGAGAGGTGTCAGGTGTTTTGGCGTTTTAACTTAAGATGATGAGAGTAAGGAAGGGTGGCAGATTAGCAGCGAGTGCTGCTCACTCTGGATGTGCGGTCATTTTTATTAATGTGCGCACCCCTCTGTCCTGCTGCCGACGCAAGACGTGCGCTAATGGCTGGCACGCCTAGCAGCATCTGCACCTGCACTCTGCATCTTGAATTAGGGGAATGACACCATTAGGTATGAGCAGAGAGGTGCCGTCGCTAGCCTAAATTAGCTTGCAAACGACGCCGAGCTGCGCTCTTCTGAATAAATATAAGATTTTTATTAAATATAAGATATTATTTAATAGTTAATTCTTTTTAAATCAAAACTTAAGCACTCCTAACTAGCTATGAATAATTAATTTTTTTATCGTCTATTTGTTGGTTTAGAAAAGTGCTAGGTGTTATTTATACAATTCAGTAATTTTATAAGGTGTAAAATTATTGAAGTTGAGAAATCTAAACCTTTTTAAACAAAAAATTGAAAAATATCAAATTAATACCATATTATAATTTATTTTTAATAATAATTAAAAATGTAAAATAAAAATTTAATTGTTAGTTATCATAATATTGTATGTTTTAAATTAATTTAATTTAAAAATATTTCACTCTAGTCATAGAAATTAATTTAAATTCTATTTGAATTTAGTTAAAAATTCTAATTATTTTTGATAACAAAACCATTCAATTGCCTTTTTTAATTCTTTTAACTTACCATTCAGATTGCCAGTGTAAAACCAACCTGTGACATTCTCAAGCATCTCGCTTTTCCTTTTGCTGTACCCGCTCACCGTCACAGGCTTCTTTGCTGCTTTCTCCGTTACAAAAGGGAAAATTGAGATGTGTTATTTTCCGCGGCGGCGGGCCACCCGCAAAGCAGAGAGGGAAACGGCCGAATCTGCAAGAAACGAGACGGGTAACATCACAAGACTCTCAAATTTGTGCCTATTCACCGGGGTGTGTAGTTTTGTCAGGCTTGGCCGGCCAAGCGATTGAATCTCTTCTCTTCTCTTGTGCCGTTTCAAAAATCTCGGTCGGCCCTCCCTGCTATTTCACTTGCTTATTCCGCTCTCGCCTCTCTCGCGGAAAAGCCAAGTGTACCCGCAGGACTCGTAAAAATCGAGCAAATGTTCGTCAAATTTGGCAGAGCAATTAAATTGAGAGCGACGCGCTCGTTTTACTCATTAGAATAAAACAAGAATAGAGAGGTTGCTACGAATTCAAAGAATTTAAAAAAAGAATAATCTTATTTATATGGAGTGTATTTTTTACCAAGAAAATTTTGAATATTAAATCTAATGTAAAAATATGAAATTTTTTACATAGTCTTTTAGATTTTCAGTAAGAGCCAGAAATAAGATTTTATTTTTAATAAAAATATTGAGTTAAAGAAGTCCCAGACTGGTATTTTTTTTTTAAATTTCTGAAAGAAGAAAGTTTCATAAGTTCGTTGTTTGAAATCTCAAACAAAAAATAAAAAATTCCTTCCCGTTGAGGATATTGAAATCGTTTTTTGCATTATTAAATTTAGTGATTTTAAAAATCAGGAGTGACTTCCCTCAAAGTTTGAATTCATTTGGATGGAAAATTAGGTGAATCTCTGTAAATCCTCTCGTTTGGATTTTTTCAACAAGATTCTAAATCGTGTCTAATTTCGAATTTGAAATTAAAAAAAAACTTTTGTGGAATTCTTGAATAATTTAAAAAAAAAAAATTGGCCAAAACTTTAAGAAAAATCATTTTTCTTTTTTTGGCCAAAGAATGGCAAATAATTTCGTGCACTTCCACCCCAGCCCGAGTGTGAATAATAGAGCCCGGCATTAATTTGGCGTCAGTCAGAGGCGAGCTGTCAGCCAGCAATGTCTCCTGGCGTCGTGAGTGCGATAAATTCGTAATGACCACCGCAAGGAGGCGAGATAATGCATTTTAATTTTGCATGTGCGGCGGCGTCACCGCCTCTTTACGACGCGGCCGGCCGGCCAAGAGACACTCGTGCGCGGTCCTGTCCTCGGGGAGTCGCAAGAACAACCCGGCCAACTGCCATAACGCCGCGCCAAATAATAAAAGCACGGCCGACCGACCGACCGACCATCACCAGCCGCCGCTTAATTATCGCGGCAAATTTGGCCGAAAATGGATTATTTTACGAGCGCCGGGGGATTTTTTCCACGCGGATTACCGGAAATTTTAATGGACGGCGGTGGCGAGCGGTCGTTTTTCAATTTTTGCGACTTTTGGAACAAAGCTCGTAAAAGAGAGAAAGGGGTATTAGTATTAAAATAAGTAAATTTAATTTATATAAAAAAAGTTAAAACTAAAATAAAACTTGTGAGAGTTTGTCTCTTTTAAAATCAATTTTTGTGAAAGAAACATTTGATTGTTGGAAAAAACTGCAGAAGTGCACTAGAAAGAATTGTACAAAAACACTGTAGAGATGAGCCTATTTTAAAAAATTTAATTTTTTCTCTCAAATAGTGTATAAATTTACTATATTTTATAGAAAATTTAAGTTTTAAAATAAATCAGTTTAATTTTTAAAAAGTTCACAATTGGACAATTTTTAAGCTACAAATTCATAACGTTCTATTAAAAAACGATTAACTTCCCGTAAGAATCCCAAACTTTTTGTCACGTTCCACAACTCGCCGTGGATCAGAGATGGATTTTCTTTTATTTCTCCTCCATTCTTTTCTCTTTTGGTCTCGCGGAAGCGACACAAGGGCAAAAAGGCAATAATATCGTTACGGCATTATCTTTCACTGGACGGCGACATAAGAGCTGATGATATCCTTTATTTTTATTTGCTGACCTCTTGTCAAGACAGCCGAGTGGCGAAGACGTAACGACTTTTCCTCTCTTCCCTTTTTTAAGACGGATGATATTGGCTGTGCTTTTTGCTCCCCTTCCGATTCTCTGCTTTTCTCTTTCTCTCTCTTGCAGAGACCGGGTTTTATTAAAACCTTATCCCTCTCGTTATCGTTAATTAGAATAACCCTCATAACTCGCGGATGTTTCGTCTCCCTCGACTGCAATGTCGACATGGAGTTATTGGAAATAATAAAAGTTGTTTTATTGCTCTGGACGAAGTAGAGGAGGCGGCAAGGGTTTAGGGAAAAGGAGAGTTTGACACTTTGGCCGGCTTTTGTAATTACTGTAATGGACTGCGTTTTGTCTTGGGTGTCGTTATGGAATTTTTCAAGGGCGTGTTTTCAGTTTTATAACGTTGTTTATTGCTGTTGAACAAAAAAACGCAAAATGATTTATTAATCC